TGGCATTTAAGAACGTCTAATGCACGTGGATGACCAAAAACATTGCATATTATGCCGCTGGAAATGCTCTTCTGGTATTTGGCTGGCCATTTCCCCCCAAATTGAATTTTTTTTTTTTTTTTTTTTTTTGAAACGATAAGAAATGATAAGTTCAATATTTATTTATTTAGAAGTGAGCAAGTCGCAATAACCTTAAAATGACTTCTAGATACACAATGAGCTGACAAATGACAATCAAATATCGACACGCGCAGAAACGACATTACTTTCTGGTCTCCCTGTTATATATGAGCAAACATATTTATCGAACATATCATACATATGCTTGCATGTAAACATTTATAAACTTATTTCTTACTATAGCTTAACACTTGATGGACGGTTTGATACCAAACATATTTGTAGCATTAAGGAGAAATTACAAAAAAAACTCTCTAATTTACGGGCTATAGATGCTTAATGGTCAATTGAGTTACTAACTATCAAATGTGGAGGGAGGGGACTTCACATTTAGATTACTTCCAAATAAAACCGTTATTCTTAGCATAAAAACTGTTAACTGAGTTGATTTATTTTTTGATACGTACGATTAATATCGTACGGCACGTATCTTTCCGGCACGGCACGCTACCTTCTAAAGTTAGTGTTTTGATAAAAAAAAAAAAAAAAAAAAAAAAAAAAAAAAAAAAAAGGTAGGCAGTCTAATTAGGCCTAGAGGAGTACACAAGTAAAATTTTGTGAAGCTAGCACTTATCGTTTAATTCTGTGGGTGTGCCCAAAGTGGGCACACTGAGGTTCGAAATAGAGCTTCGAAAAGAGTGCTGAAACGAGCATTGTTGTCAATGAACTGACCAATGAGATGCGGAGAAACAAAGAATACAGACTCTCAGTTGTCCTAGATTATCGGTGAGCCCAGTCTGGGCACATCTAGGGTTCGCCGTTTGATTTTAGGCAAGATTTCAAGGTAAAAATTTAAGACTAATATAGAATAAGGAGATTAGCATACAGCCAAAAAATAGCATAGAAATTTCTTTTCAAATAACTCCTTTTATACCCTAAAAAAGATCTGGAAGATTTCTTTGAAAAATGAGGGTCTTAAAAAACTAAACATGGCTAAAATGTATGGACTGGTTTGTGTTGAGCTGCCATGTACTATAAATAAAGAAGGTTCAGAGTAACCTACAGTAACCTATAAATCCTTTTTCATTCAATTTTTGTGTGCGTACAGAAGGACATGTTTAGGCGTGTCCAGATCGGACATACTGTGCCGCAGAGGGTTAATGATGTTAATAAAGTCTACCTTTTCAAATTTTTGAATAAATTTATGTCGCTTTGTAAATTAATTAATTGCTTTTTTTCTAGTGCGTTGTTCACGTTCGTTTTTAATGAAAATGAGAATGATATAGACTCTGACTTCAAATAACTAAAATCTTGAAATCTTTGCCACACCAAACTAGCAGCAAATACATAGTTGGAATACCTTCATGTACCGCATTAAATCGATTATCGCTAGTAATCCTGAAATTTAAAAACAAAAACTAACCCCAAATTTAACGAATTCTTTGATAATATGTTTATCAGAATAGAAGAGAAACACGCCAATGTAACAATTAAAATCGCTATTTATAGTGAACCGACATTTATAGTGAACCAGCGCAAAATGCTAAAACAAAATTAATAATCCTTCTGGGCAAATTGCTGCTTTGGACTAAAACTTATAGTACAGAGTTCACGAGTTTAACAATAATAAAAAAAACTGACAGCTTTTAGATATTGTATTACACCGAAGAGCATTTGGGCTAAATATATTTAAAATTTTGTTATTTTGATAATTACAAAATCTTAAAATTATAAAAAATTTATATATTAAAATATATAAAAATATTAAAATAATAATTTCCAACAGACAGTCTCGCGCGTTGGAGATAATTTTTTCACTGTACAGTGTTGCCATTACTCGCTTTAAAATCGTGTAGTTTGCTAATCAGAAATTTGTTAATGTTTTACAAAATATGAAATAGATAATAAAAGAAATTCGAAATTCCAGCTCGGGCTTCCAGGTACCCATATTCGGTTGGGGACTACGTTATTCAACATTTGATGGCTCTAGGTACAGTTGTTTTTCACAGTGCGAGAAACATGCATACATTCATGCAGATTCTTCTCATTATTTAATTTCTTTAAGTATAATACAGGTCGATAATATTTGGTGGAATCACTTTGAAAAGTGAAACGGACATTTATAATGAACCAACGCAAAATGCTCTTTTGTGTTTAACATTCTTAGTTTGAAAGTGTAACTACTCATTGTACTCTGTGAAACTGAGAAAAGCTATGCAAGTACTTTTGTGGGGAGTTTCAGAACTGTAAAGTGTCCTTTTAGTAAAATAAATTTTATTAAATTATCATGGGTACTGTGTGCGTTCAGTCTATCACGAACCCGTACGCACGCAACAACAGGAAATATAAATAGTACTTACTTACACATAATTTCAATTATGAATTAAACAAATAAAAAATCTGAAAGATTTCAGATTTTAAATCACATCCAAAGGGACCTTTTTTTAACGTTTTGAGTGCTACCTTTATTTAATAAATAGCATGTTCTTTGCACTTAAACCATAAACTTCAGTTCAGTAGCAATGTCGCAAAATAATTTTAAAATGAGCATATCTATAGAATTTTCAATTCACAGTTCCGCGCCCGCTGGAAATAAAAAGATTCTTCCTCCGCCCCCCCCCCCCCGCCGCAGAGTGTTGCCATTGCTCGCTTTCAAATCGTTGAGGTTGTTACTCAAACATTCGTTAACGTTTTACAAAATATGAAATCGATAATAAAACAAATACCAAATTTCAAATTTGTCTTCCACATGCCCATATTCGCACTAGGATTACGTTATTCAAACTTCGATGGCTCTATGTACCGTTATATTATCACAATGCGAGAAATATACATGCATTTATGCAGATTTTCATTATTTAATTTCTTCAAATATAATACAGGACTCTAACATTGGGTGGCAACAGTTTGAAAAGTGAAACGGACATTTATAGTGAACCAACGCGAAAGGAAAACAATAGTCCTTCAGGGACAAAACCCCTTTTGGACTAAAAATTCATTAATAGTTGGTTGCCTACCAGGACAGATTATTTATTATTATTTGTTTCATTTTGTTGCAGTCTTACGTTCGACTGCGCGCGCAGCCAGACGACGTCATGTTGTTTTCGTAATAACCACCAGCGCGCTCAACGAACTCCCACACATTGCTCTTAGCTCAAGTGCAAAAAGGATGTTCAATATTTGTGTAGATGTTTGGTGTTTCGATGAATAGTTGTGTTAACGTATAGTTGTGTTAATGAATAGATATGTTAATAAAGTTGTATTTTAGCGAAGTGGAGTCATGCCTTTGAAGATCATTCACCGAGCCATAACCCGCACACCATAATTTTATTTTCTCATACATTAGACAATGATAACTGTATGTGCTGATGTACACATCAGTTCTCATGCTTTGATTTAAATATATTGCATCAATCGCAGTATATCCTCTAATCATATAATACTTCTGATTCACAAATCAATAACTTAACAATCACAATTTTTTTAAAGCAGCATATTTTTATAATTCCTCATAGAGTGTAAATGGTACTATACATATCTTTTTATATTACATTATATTATTTGCATCTACTATATTAGCTCTTTAAAAATAAAACTTAGTAATAACTTTTCATAGCAGAATTCTTCGAAAAGTGATTCGACACAAAGGTAACATCGAGAATTGAAGCTAATATGTTAAATCGCTCCATTACGAGAGCTTGCCTTCACAATGACAAATTACATTTAACATAATTCCACGAATACATTTATGTTTATAAATGTAATATATTGTTATTAACCATATACATAACTTAAATACCGAATTAGAGCAGATCTGGATTATCTCGTATAGTTCGTATATTTTTTTACGAATGTCTGCTCCGAGCTTCAAGTAAAATATCACATCCGGTGTATTAATTCTAGTCAAAATCTAATACATTGTTTCCACTGGTATACAAGTCTTAAATACTAAAGCTGAAAAAATTTAGATTGCATTTTAATATAGTTTTTCATGAAACGCTGTTGTGGACTGCAAGTAAAGTAGCACTTACGTTTCTCTATTGAAAGAGTGGCATGGGCTTTCTGTACAGTACTGTTTGCGGTTGTCTTATTTTACCCAAAATCTTATTAAATCTGTATGTGAATGTAGAAAGCTTAAATGCGGGAAATGGAAATTTTTGAAAGTTTCATGTAAGAGTTACTGTGGACGAAAAATCGTCTCGCATGTACCGACAGACATCATTCTAAAAATAGCAAAAAATTATCGTGGAGACACTAATACATGGTTATGCATTGAAAGCTCCCTATCGAATTTTTAAACTGGAATTATTACCACCTTACCTACCTACGTACATAGGTTGCCGAGAGATAAAAATAGTGAGAGAATGCAAGAGTAAAATTAATGCTCATGTTTGATGTATCCAAATCTTTATTTCACATTTATTACTTTTTAATTAAGAAATAGTGCAAATAAAAGATATCTGAGCGCCAAAGATAAGTAAGGAATGATAATTTATACCGGAAGAGGAAAGCATCCATTTAATCGATCATTTGAGGAGTAATCAGGAAATCAGAATCCTAAATTAGCCCTAATTTTCATTATTTCTCAGGAAAATTTGCCCATCTGGGCAATTCGAAATTCCACAACACTTTAATTAGGATCCAACTGGAGTGAGATTCATCGGCCAATTCAGCAATACAAGCGGAAAACTTTCTCTAATAAAACAAAAGAAAAACGCACGAAAGAACAAATCAACTCCTTACAATTATCATGCGAAACGAAGCGGTCTATTTATGTCTTGTGTAGAAACGTCGGGGTAGGGGTGGAGTCGAAAAAAAATGAGAACGGCTTTGTCAAAGATGTGTACAGTTTAATGAGGAATTGAAACAAGGATGTTGTTCCGTTGGTGGAAAGGAAACGTGCGAAGTGGATGCCGTCTCTGTTCATAAACAGGTGGTATAAAAACACGGTCGCAGTGAAAGTGCTTCGTCAGTCACTCGGAAATTACCAGCCCGAACGCATTTCAAGGAAAATTTTTGGTACAAGTTACACAGGTTAGTGATTTTACTTTTAGACTGTACGCAAGCTTGATTTGACAGCTGAAAATTTTGAATAGGTGTCAACTTAACATATTATTCTGGTTAAATTAATTATAATATTAATTTAAAAGTTAATTAAAAATTATCAATATATAAGACTTATTTAATATTAGAGAATTAAAATCATTTTAAGTAAATTAACTTTGAAGTAAGTCCATTAAAATCGTGCAAGGAAAATTTGAGGATTTCAATCATCAATTAAATCGACCTTAGCAAAAAAGCAAATTAGTAGAATAATTAGTACATACCTTCATTTATTTTTTAGGATATTTTTAGGACCAAACGTGTATTTCAAGATAGCTTTACATAGATTAATTAATAAATTATTTCCTAGATAATAATTAGATAATTAAATTGCGTCATAAAGTTAATGTTTCGAAATAAATTAAAGGAAATTGTTGTAAACATATTTCAGCTAAGTTTATAGGATATATCTAATGAACCTGTAATAAAAACAAATCCGACTTTTAGCCCAAAGGGGCAATTTGCCCGGAAGGGCTATTAATTTCGTTTTTTCTTTTTTCGTTGGTTCACTATAAAAGTCTGAATCACTTTTCAAATTTTTCCCATCAAATATTAGACCCCTGCATTATATTTAAAGAAATTAAATAATGAAGAATCTCCATGATGGTTTCTCGCTTTGTGAAAAATCAACGGTACCTAGAGACATCAAATTTTGAATAACGTAGTCCTCCACTCGAATATGATCATCTGGAAGCCCAAGTTCAGAATTTGGAATTTGTTTTATTATCTATTTGATGTTTTGTAAAACTTTAGCGAATTTTTATTAACGAACTCAACGATTTCGAAGCGTTCGATTAACATTAACATTGTTTCTTACTGGTATTATGTTGGCAGTGTAGCAACGCAAAAACGTTACAATATCTAACGGTATATTACGAATGACTTTGAATGTCTGTATCACTTTTCGAAATCCCGTTTTGTATCCCCCTGAAAAAGCGCCTCTTCGAGCGTAATATAAAATCTTAAAGCTTTTTTTTTTTTTTTTTTTTAATTTCGCTCTTTTTAATGCTACTGTTTTTTGCTCTTTTCATAAAATGTTAAGAAAAATTATCAAATCAATCATCTCAATCTATCAAATGTTTAGACACCATGTATACTTTCTAACGCGTAAATTAAGATATTATTTTTATTTTAATGTAGTTTATAAATACTATTAATGTATACATTTTTATAATCTACTCTTGATAAATGAGGCAACAATAAACTCGTCGAATGTTAGAAAATGGAATCAATGCATGTATTTCAGTCAGAAACATTAAATCTTTAAATATAAAGATTAATGTTTATGTTAGTAAATATATAAATTTATTTATTTCCCTGAATAGACAATTATATCTTTCCTGCTTTATTTTTGGGCATGTTTGCAAATATTTCAATCCTATAATATACGACGAAAATAAAATTATAGACATATTCCAGATTTAATAGATTTCATATATTTCACGGCATTAAAAATGTATACATTTCGGCAATAGTTCCTGCATATTTATTTTCACATTTTAGTTCAAATTATAAGCTATTAATAAGTCTATATATTAGCTAATATTTTTTACCTTGGAATTGCTAATATTCATTTGCAATTCTGGAATATTTATTTGGTAATATTACAGATATTAGTTTTCATTAGATAATTTATTATTATAGAAATTAATAAGATTTTAATTATGTCATTCATTAAAATCAATCCAGTGACCTTCATTTTATTATATACCCATGAAGTAATCTTCAAATATTATAGAGGGACAGCTTATATAAAAAAGGCCTTTATTTTAATTTATCAACTTCATAATTGATCATTATTAACAAAGTAAAAATCAGTTACATTGAGACCATTTATATTACGTATATATATATATATATATATATATGAAATCTTCTTCTGTACTCTTTTCTAAATAATATTCTCAGCAATAAATTACATTATTTTAAAATTAGAATTAGACAATAAAACTATCAAATCAAATCTAACACCTGACTTAGGCTTCATGTTCATCACCTTTCATCGGAAATCATAAAACTCAGATTAAATATAAAATTTAAGTTATTAGAAAACAAGCCTTTCTTAAATTTTTCCAAAGCTGAATACTCCGGTCGGCTCTTTAAAATTCTTCAGGTTAAATTCATTTCATGTTTTCAAAGCAAGTAGATTATTTTTTAAGCATATTTGTTGCAATATTTTTGTTTGTTTGTTCAGGCTATAATCTTATACGCTGAAATTTAAATTAATGTAATTATACTTAAAAATATAAACCGAAATTTTATTCAAAATCTTTTACACTTTATTTCTTTCAAAAGAGCTGCATTTCTTTCTGAAATTCTCAGAATCATTATAATCAAACAAAAACAGATACTTTCATTTCTCTGCTTTATTTACAGAGGTCTTTTCTTCCATACCTGTCTTTGATAATTACCACAAAAATGTTGAAATGTATTCCGGTCAATTTTCGATAAGAATGCCTGTAGTTTGATGCCAAGGCATTTTACTAAGATGAAAAATTCAGAGAGATTAAAAAAATTAAATTTAGTCTAAAATTAAATGGACTATATTTAAAATTAGCTTTTCTATTCAATTATAAGATTTCTACTTTAGGTAGCTTATAACTTTGTTGTTATTTTAATTTATTTATTTGATTTCAACAAGCGTTTCCCTCGTTTATTAGCAAACTATGCACTCTTAAATGTGTCGCATGAATCTACCCGATGATGATTTCCTTTTATTACTTTGCGTTAATTTTTCATGTGAGTATTTCCGATTGTTTTTTTTCACTTAGATTTTAAATAAGACTTCACGTTTTTGGTATAGTGGTACAGCATCAATTTTGAAATCCTTAACTTTTGCCCTTAAATGCACATTTTATTTCACTGTTCACTTACAAACTGCAGTCATAGAAGTCATAGAAAATTTGTTTTAGGAAATTAGCTAATATTGCTTTAATTTAAATGCATGCAAATGGTATTCATATTATTTACGCAAACAGCGTTATTTTATTTATGCAAGTAGTATTATTTATTTATTTATTTTGCAAATAGTATTATTTTGTCCTGCCCAGCAACGCTTAACTTTCAAAAGGAATTTCTATGCAAAATGTTCAGCAAAATTCAGTCTTAGATTAGCAATGGTTTTTTAATAAATTCTACTATACTGCAAGGTATAAAAATATTTCGATGTACGCCCTTCATAAAATTTTTATTTTTTAATTTTTAATCTTGAATTACCCCCTTTTTTCTCCTTTGATTCTAGTTATTTTGGTATATATATATTTTTAATTTTTAAAGAACAGTACTTGACAATTGTTGAGATCGTACAGTAGCTTCGAGTAAAATTTCAACTGTGCTCTCAACGCTATACGAATCGTGAATATTCCAGATCTTCGTTCAACATACATTCATCGGCATCGCTAACGCAAGTGAGAGAAATACGATATTTGAATATATTCTATCGAACTGAAAAGGCGACGAGATAAGTATGAGCTCAATCGATCAAATCCAAAAGGAGACGATTTTTCATCCGCGATATTCAGTTTAGCTAAATCTGCAGAAACTAATTGAATTCTACGCGAGTAAATGTGATAAATCTACCATGCATGTGCCAAAGTTCAAATTATAAACGTGCGAATCAGCTATCAAGCGGTAAGATTGCTTCATTCATAGTTGGAAGCAGGTTGAAATCTAGACAAACGGGATTATTGCGGGAGAATTTTCATGTGTAACGTGAATAAGAGCCAGTTTCATTTAAATAGCCCTCCACGAAAACATTCATCCTCATAGACAGTAACCATCATGTACTTTGCCATAGTCGAAATAACGCAGCCCCAAACACGTACTATGAAGGTTCCAGTTGGTTGCTGGATGTGTCTGTTCTACTTATATATTGGACTCAGAGACAAACGCCATAATTCCATACATAACCTTAAAATGGAGTTACCTTAAAAATGAAGAGATTTTTTTTTTAATCTAAGGCTGAATTAGGACTAATTTAAAGTTGAACTTAAGCTTGAATTTGAATAAGCTCGAATAAGGCTGAAAAGGTATATTTTAAAGATTCACTTTTCAGCTCTTCTCTTTTAATCTTAAAACTATGCACAGTTTTTTCTGCATTACTATTCTGTGATAATATTGAATCAGTCTTGTATTTTGAGGTTGTTTGTATGTAAATTAAATGGAAATGAAGTTCTGAAAGCTTTGAATTCTTAATTAAAAATTAGCAGGGAAAATGAAAAGGTAACGTATTATCGCACATAGAGGAAAATACTGCGCAAATATTTGCAAAAATTAATTTTTTCCTAAATCCAAAAATAGCCTTCACTAATAACGCTAATTACTGACATATATTATTCTATAAATTTAAATTACAAAAAAGGAGGATTCACTTCCTTTTAGTATACGGGACAAAGTCACACGCTTTGCGAAAACTTTCTTCGCTTTAATGAGCTCTTTTGTATTTTATCGAAGCAAATGTTTTCCTTATTTCCGGGTGATTCCCCTACCAGCGGCATCTATGATGACACTCCTTCAAACAAACAAAGCGAGGCTATTTTTGTGGCAAAAGGAAGCAAGGGGACATTTTTCTGTTAAGTGCTTATCATTATCATAAATACTGTCGAGCGGATGCGATGACTGGAGAAGGAAGACCGCTGATCGTCCAAGGAGGATCTGCGAAGATCATAAGCATGGTCATCTTTTTTTCTCGACCGATTCTTTTTCGGTACCACGCATGGATTCTTACGCATTTCTGAAGCTATAATCGCACGATGATTGATGTTTCCTCTTGAGTTGCACTTTAAAAACAAGCCAACAGTGAAATTAAGCGGCTATTTACACTTCTGGTGGTTTTACGGTTGAGTGACTGATTAATGAACCCGAAGAGAAACAACACCGTGGCTTTTTTGGAGATGAAAATATTTATTTCTAAAAAGCCGTTTTCTTTTGAA